TGGAAGATAATGGGCTCTCCCCTTTTGGACTTCCTCAAGGAATAAAGTGAGGCCAAAACTATGGTACCAACCTTGTTGATTCACCAATAAAATACCACGAATAATGGTAGCAGAAAAGAACAAAATTCTATAGAGCAACCAAATCTATCTTCAAAACTCCATTTAAATATGCTAAACATCCTTTTTTGAGAAAAAGTGACATAAATAAGTGAAAAATCCTTAGGCTAAAGGAAACATAGAATTTCGTAAAAAGAAAATAGCAAAGTTCTAGTCAAATTGGAAAAACCTTATGAAGTGTCTATTCCTGCTACATCACAATGGTGCATTTGCTTTTTGAAGTGGTTGTTATTTGCAGTGATAGAATAAAATAGCAGACAAAAAGAAAAGTAGGATGTCATGGTCATGTCCAATCATATAATGCCACCGATAATTCGTATATGCCTCATATCCAATCATTAAAATGTAAAATACAAGTGCATTAATGTCACCGATAATTCTTATATGCCTCATATCAACATATGGCTTTGATATCAAACAATTTGTTTCAAATTACATTTAATAGTATGCATAAATACACACACATATAATATATGTCATTTCAGACACCTCATCTCATTTTTGTTTTTTCTCAGCCTTGTCTGTAGATCATAGCCACCAAGGTGTCCCCAAAGAGGGAACAGTAGCTTCCTAATTCTAAAGTAATAACATACTATCTTATGGAAAAATAAAATCCTTTATGTGACAAATATTACCTTCCCTCTCCATCCCTCGAAGACATTGGTATCAGATCTAGAGTGGTGGGACTCTGCACTTATTTCAAAGCTTGAGTTCGGATTGAGTATAATTATATCTGCATCAGAACCGGCACGAATTGCTCCCTTCCTTGGATATATATTGAAAATCCTAGCACTGAAAATTTTGTGGATGTTGAAATCATTTTAACATACTTTAGGCAGCATAATGGGAATTTATAGTAAACACAATTCGCTGCAAGAATACCATTCAGTACTTGTCACACGGACATAGTCAGTAACAGAAATTTGACCGGATTCCTGAAAGTATGCACAGAAATTTAAAAAAATAAAAGATTATCCAAAACACTGATTCTAATTTAAGCTGCTTATTTAAGGGATGAGCAGGAATTTTATGGCAGCTTACCACCATTGTATCCCATACAAGATGCATCCTCTCCTCAATACCTAATTTCCAGTTGCCGTGTTAAGTATTAGAAACTGAAATTGGCATAGAAAACAGAGAATATATCTTAGTTGAACAATATCAAAGACCATTTCTATGACTACCATTGACACCATTTGGAATTTTCTGGAAATCATCAATTCCAAGAGCTTTCTGTGTTGAGTTGAAAGAACAATGATCAGTTCCTACAAGCTGCACATTGCAAAATCTAAGTCAATATATACTTTCTTAAAACAAATTTGTTCACTATTAAGTTCAGGTAGCTAAATTATAGACACAAAAAAAACAAAAGTTTAGGCATCTGAATAGTATATATCCCATCATGTTTGATCAAAATTGGGTTCTGAATACAATGTCAAGGGACAACCATTAACTTGTCTCATCATTTACAATAACTCCTTACTAGTTCCCCCCATCATTTCAAAGCTATGTGATGAGGACATCTTTGTCAAACCCTTTAGGGCTCGTTTGGTACACAGGATTGGCTTGGACTGGCTTGGACTAAATTTAGTACCATGTTTGTTTTATCTAATCCTA